TTTTTTTTTTTTTTTTTTTTTTTTTTTTTTTTTTTTTTTGTTTTGGTTTTTTTGGTTTGGTTTGGGGTTTTGTTTTGTTGCTGTTTTTCTTTTTGTTTCTTTTTTGTTTCTTTATTTGCTTTTGTTTATTCTTTTTTTTTTGTTTAGTTTTGTGTTTGTTGCTATTTTGTTTGTTTGTTTGTTTGTTGTTTAGTTATAAGCATCTTCTATTAATAAAACTGGCTCAGGGTTTAGAGTTTAGGGTTTAGGGTTTAGGGTTTAGGGTTTATCATTCAGAGTTTAGGGTTTATCAAGGGTTTAGGGTTTAGGGTTTAGGGTTTAGGGTTTAGGGTTTAGGGTTTAGGGTTTAGGGTTTAGGGCTTGGGTTTTAGGGTTTAGGGTTTAGGGTTTAGGGTTTAGGGTTTAGGGTTTAGGGTTTAGGGTTTAGGGTTTTGGGGTGTATACGCAGGTGGAGACAGCTCCATTTTTAGCTGCAAATGTTGGAGCGAAGTTTTGTCGCTTAATGCAGCGTGTTCTGCGTTTGTTGCCGCATCAACCAGTATATTTTTTTATTTTTTTTTAATATAAATATAAATATAAATATAAATAAATATAAATAAATATAAATAAATATATTTGTATGTCGGTATATGTTTGTGGATGGAGCTGGGGTGTTTGTTTTTTTTTTTTTATTTATTTTTATGGGTTTTTTCTTGGGGGGTTTGGTGGTGGTTTCGTTGTAAACCCTAAACCCTAAACCCTAAACCCTTAAACTCCTTTCAGCTGTATCTTATGCTTCTAAACAAACTTGCTTTATTCATCGAGCTGAGGGTTTAGGGTTTAGGGTTTAGGGTTTAGGGTTTAGGGTTTGGGGTGTATGCGCAGGTGGAATCGATGGATCTTATCCTTAACTACGACATCGTCGCTGAGTAAACCCTAAACCCTAAACCCCAAACCCTAAACCCTAAACCCCAAACCCTAAACCCCAAACCCTAAACCCTAAACCCTAATGTTTCTTCAGGTGCACGCGGAGAATGATGTCTCCTCTACACCATCTAATACGGCAGGCTTCTAGTCGGCCTCTAGACTTGAGGGAACAGGTTCGAGGGTTTAGGGTTTAGGGTTTAGGGTTTAGGGTTTAGGGTTTAGGGTTTAGGGTTTATAAAGAGTTGTCTCCGTGTCTTTTACACAGTAAGCAGCAACGGCATTAGTACT